GGACGTCGCTAAAAGCCAATCAAATGCGAGGGACTCGCGAACACTTCGATTGCATTGGTTCATTTTGGAGCGTCGAGTTCCAGCCGGGGCGACAGCTGATTTCCACGGCTGATAGAGGTGCTGATAGTAGTGAGACATGGCCCTGTAAATCCAGTTCACCGGTTGTGACTGGTTGTTTGAGCTCAAATAGATCCTGCCATACTCGTGAGCTGTTGCCGGAAGCCAAGGCCTGAGCTGCATCGAGCCGAAATCGCACAATGCACTTTGAGCTCGTCACATTGCACTTATATTTTACCAACATGCACATACTATACTTGCACGTCAAAGTACACTCGAACACACTCTGCCGTTGTGTGGTTGTGGTCGCACGACCAAGTCCATTTTCATGACGAGCGCGTACGTGAGATGACCGCAGTCATTGGGAGACAATATTCAGGTTGCACGTAATCCGAGTGTATTTCGATGCAAACGTGAGCTTTTTGACGCCACCCAGGCGCGCCAAGCGTTTTTAGTCCAAGTCCAAGCAGATGAAAGGTTAGACGCACTTGAGCAAGCAGTCATTTCGACACCATCTCAGAGAACCTCAGGACCATCTTCTACAGCAATGATTGATATATTTTGTGTATATTTTCTGAGTGCAAATCGTATGGATGGAGAATAACGTTCTCGGCTTCAAGAATAAAGAGGACATTTTTACTGCGGGAAGCTGAGCGACTCGTAGGTGAACTTTTGCAAGTCGTTGGTGGGCGTGTTGCACGTCCAGAGTTGCGGCTTCGCACCGGTGGTCGTCGCCATATCGAGGCAAAAACCAGTGTGCGTCGCGTGGCGAAGCTGGCCGGTCGCCGCGTCGAAGCGCCACTTTTGGTTGGCATTGTTCGAGTCGCAAGGCCACAAGTGCACGGTGCCGCCGTTCCGGGCTTCGTATGCGTCCAAGCACTTGTCGCCGCCGCCGTCCGAGCGCGCACGCCACGTCATGTCGACGTTGTTGACGACCCACTCGAAGGGGACACCCCAGATCTGCACAAACTGCAAAATGCCTTGGCCGCTGACAAGGTACCGGCCGTTGAACGCGTTGAGTCTGACCTTTTCTTCGGTAATCGCGATGCGCTGGTTGGGCGCGTTGTCGTAGCAGCTCCACACCTGCACCTTGTTGTTCTGCGTTGGGTCGACATCGAGGCACAAGTTGGGGTGCGTCCGGTGCTTGATGCGCTGCCGGGCGCTGTCGATCGTCCAAAACTGGTTGCCGTTGGTCGCATCGCACGCGTACGTGTGGACGCGATACTCCCC